GCTTTTCCATCGCATTTTGGAGTATTATTTCTGGCTCGACTAACGCAATCAGATCTTACGCCGCCTTGTACCCGGCCATGCCGCCGGATTGCTGGACGAGGATCTTGGTCTTCTCGCTGTACTGTTCGTAGAGCTTGTCGCTCCTACACGAGAATGAGAATGCAGCCCAACCGTGGAATGCGTACTGAGGCACGCCCGCGTCGCCCTTCTTGTACATGACGGCGAGGTTGTGGCACGCCGGCGCAAAGTTGGCATCACACGCTTGTTCGAGGTACGCCTTGGCTTTAGGTACGTCGCGCTTGAGCCCAAACTTGGACTGCGACGTGAGGAACATGCTCCCGAGCCGGTAGCAGCTCGAGCCTTCGCCCTTCGCACACGCCTTGTCGATCGCTGCCATGCCCTTCTCCAGGTCCTGCGCACATGTACGATGCCATGTACGTCAAACTCGCATGCGTACCTGTGTCACGCCCATGCCGTTGAGGTACATGAGCCCCAAGTGGTGGCAGCCGTGCGTATGGCCGCCGTCGCACGCCTTCTCTATGCACACGTAGGTTCGTCGATGGTCGATGGATCCACGGCGCGCGGTACATACTAAAGTGCTGCATGGCGGCTGCATCATTGGCCTCGACGCCCTTGCCAGCAACTAGCATCGATGCTGAGATCGACAATTACGCAAAGAGCCACGTCATACGAAGCAGGCGGCCGTAGTTGAAGCACGAAGCACCGTACGCCTTCTCGTCGCAGTTCTTCTTGTAGACTTTGCCTACACGGCATGAGGTGCCAGCAACATGAGGCGTCGCCCACCTGCGTGGTCGTAGTTCTTGTCGACGACCGCCAGCCACTCACCGTAACTGTGGCACGCGCTTGCGTCGCCTACGCCGCTACTTGTAGCCAGCAAAATATACCAGAGCATAGTACCGTTGCCGTCGTCGCAGTTGGAGACGAACTCGTAGTGGCGCTTCTCGAGCTCCTCGTTGAGGCGCGAGACTTCGGCAGGGCTCTTGTCGCTCATGGCAATTTGGCGTTTGCCAGACCCCGTCTCATTGGCTGCTTTCGTGCGTGGCGCCGATTGGTCGACAGAATTGTGGCAAAAACAATGTTTTGAATCAGTTTTAAATGCACTGTTTTGTGCTGACACAGAGCGTGTCAACAACCGGCAGACGATCGACGTCACGAACAACCAAACACCTGATGAGACGACGACAGGCCAAATGAGTACATTTCGAAAGCTTCCGCTTGGCGAAAGAAGGGACGACGAGCATCATGTCCACGCCATCCAGCGACGATCCGGGCGCGTTCTTTGCCGCCGCCAGGACCGGCGATGTTAGCACCCTCGCGGCCTGCTTGGTCAATGGATCGTGCAACCCCAACGCGCGCACGGCCACCGGCTGGACAGCGCTGCATTTTGCCGTCTTCTACGGCAACATACCCGTCGTCCGTCTCCTTGCCGCGAGCCCGCGCGTCGACGTGAACGCACTCTCTGCGTACGCCTGCATCGTACCGTCAATGGGCATCTGGGCTATGTACGTGTTAGAAAAGGCACGTCGCCCATCACGCTGGCCTTGAAGCATCAAGGGTCGCACATGCTCGAGATCCTCCTCGTGCATGGCTGTCGTCGTACCACCATACGTACGTCTCCTGCGCCAGTCATAACCTCTACGCTAACCCTTGTGTAGCGCCGGTGATGCATCGCGCAGTGTTGAGCCTCTCGGACGACGTCCAGCACATGCTGTCGCCGGCGTGGTCAGTCGTGTGGACGCCATT